TACGTAGCTGTATTAACCTGTGCTGGGGCACTACACCCGTATGTACGCTGCACGCCGCTGAAAGAAGCACGTCATGCAGGCATAACCACAACCAGCAAAAAAAATATTTCCATCGATAATCATCAAAATTTGCAGATAGGCCAAGTGAAAAAAGTGCAGCTTGAGAACTTCTTAGAATTTGATGTAAGGATACTGACTTTGCATATGTTAACATGTGATGTTGACGATTTGTGTTTTAATGCTTATCAAGCTTTAACTTTCTGAATCTGAACATTTAGTGTCATTAAATTGTCTGACCCCTCCATAATTTCCCACAACTGTGAAAATGTAAAATCAATAAAAATTGAAAAAATAAATATCGATATCAGTTAAAATTATAAAAAATTGAAGTTGAATTCTTCCTAGCCTACATATTAACTTTTCTCAAGTAGAAAAGCCAGTTGACTTGGAGAGCCCCTGAGTAGCATCAAGAGAAAACTAAACAATCTATTGTTTGTCATTGCTTACTTATTACAAGGTGCCCTACTGACAGAAATTCTGTCCTGGGGATTTCAGGGGAAGCAAGGGTATCGGACCAGATCCTGCCTTTGCACAGCATGTTCCCCTCTGGATTCCAAGGTACACATCTCCAGCAATGCTATATGGTTGTGTGTCGTTCACAGATGATCCACAACAGCAATATAAAACCGTTTGAACTACTCAAGCCAGTGTGTTCAAACGATTAACAGAGTCAAGTAAAAATGAAATTCAGCAGGATAGTGCACCACACTGCATGTAGCATGCAGATCTACAGATATTGTGGTTAAAATGAAGCAGTTTCTTTTGTAGAAAACCATTTATGCTTTAAATAGTACAACGGGTCTGAATACATATAACTTCTTGAAGTCACACACAGCTCTCTGAATATGGCACACTAGGGACAAGTTAGTGCTTTTACTATGAACAAACCCTGAGAAACTGCAGTGACGCATTCTGTGGCTTTGCCTTTAATCATCATTGGTTTTTACGCATGCCCACCCCAGAAAAGTCAACAATGAGACACAGCATGGAAGCAAACTGCAGGAGGCTGCACACCTTGAAAATGTGCTGTTTCCTACCTGGTGCTTCCCTGCCCACACCCCCGTGACTCTGCTGCTGCACTGACTGTTGAGCTGCAGGGGAACGGTCTCTCCTAGTAACCACAAGGAGCTGCTGAGTTGGAAAACGATTCATTTAAATACAAATGTATTCCAATTTTTTTTTTTAAACTAGACTCAGAAGAAAAGAGAACGCTCCCTTTGGCGCGCACACGTTTGAGAGAGAGAGAGAAAAACACATCAATTTAAGGCTTTTGAAAGGTGTCAATTGGCCAGCATCAAGACTGAAGTACTAAACAAGCTATTTAATAAATGAGATATGGCCAGTGGAAACCTCCCTGCTAATGTGCCTCAGACCCAGCCCAAAGGCCCAGCCACAGAGATAAGAGCAGTGGAGCTGGCATGCCCTCTTAACCCCTGGCCTTCAGCTGAGACTACCTAGACGGGTGGCAGTTAATGCCATTGCGATGGGCGATTTGTCATGTGACACTGTTTTCCAGGAACAAGACTTGCACATTACTTTCCCAGCTTGCTCTGAGCCTAGTGTAAAACCTGGAGCAGATTAGTTTCTTCTTCCTTCCAGATGATGTTTCTTCTTTCCATTGTTCACCACAGCTACATATGGGAAATTTCTCCAGTCCTTCCCCCACACTCTGTTAATCTTTGAATCACAAGATTTGTTCCACCCGCAACATTCCAGCAAAAAGCCTGTGACACAGTGGTCCTTTGGGTACTCTAGATTTACCAGCAGGTATACGCAGAAGTGAGCAGCGCTGCTCGAGTGGCTCCCGTTATTCTGGGCTGTGAGATCCCAGAAGATTATATTGAGAGATCTCTCAGCAGCCCTGAGAGCACTCTGATGCGGGTTACCACAGGTGCCATCTTGTCACCCTTTTTGTTCAAGGTTTAGATGAGGCTATTAGGGGAGGGGAGCAAGGAACATCAGGAGCAGGGTTTTGGTGACCCCCAGTTTTGTGGCTCCAATCTCAATGGATCCAGCAGGCATGTTGAAGTCACCGACCCCATGTGTAGAGGAATATGGCTGAGAGCTAGCAGACTGAGGCTCAATCCAGAGAAAACTTGATTCTCCAAACCTGTCAGTGTTGCCTCAACCAGAAGCGATGGCAGGGATTACAGTACATCTTGGTGAAGGGGCAGTGCCTGATGCTTGTACCAGGGTTCAGAATTTGCGGGTCTGACTGAACTATGGACAGCATGTAGAGAACCATATTACAGCCATGGTCAGGACTGGCTGCCTCCATTTATGCCTGGGCAGAAGGGTAAGGCCTTATCTTTCCGATGCAGATCTTGGTAATGTCATCCAGGCGTTTACATGGACTGATGTGCAAATCTGGAGGAGTGAGAGAGTATCCTTCATGAAATTCCAAGCTTGTCCCTTGAATAAGGAATGTGCTAATGCTAGGTAAGGGGGGGAAGGGGTTTATTCATGAGATTTTCTAATTCTTTTCCTATAACTTTGCTTCCTGGTTCAAAATGTCGCAATCTCCCTGTGTGCAGTTGTTAAGTCATCATTACATACCATCCTGGTGCTGAAAAACAAGTAATCTGCCAGTTAAAATATTATTTACTCAAGGACCACATTCTTTTGCTAGGAAAGCACGTTGGGATGAAAGACCTGGTTTTTATTGTTATAAGAATATGCTGGCCATAAAAACAATTGGATTCCTCCAAAATAATGTCTCGGTTTTCTCGCAAGGAGCATTAAGGTTATAGGATTGGATTTTCAGAGGTGCCTAAGGGAGTTAGATACCCAACCTCCACTGAAAGTCAATGGAGGTTAGATTCCTAACTCCTTTAGAAGATTTTGAAAATCCCACCTATAGCTCGTTCTGACTGATGTAATGTGGAGAATACTCTTCTAGCTATGGGCTAGTTATGTCTAGCTTGTGTGTGCTCATGGAGACACAGGATTGCTTCCAAGACAATCAAAAAGGGAAGCATAGTGCCCGGCGGCAGGCAGATAGAGCAGGTGACACAAGGGGCGGGGAATATGCAACATCTCTTAAATAAGTGTAGCAGCTTGTGGGTTCCCCTGTGCACTGAGTTGTGGGAGGCAGAATGCCTCCAGTACTCTTCCTGGGGCAGTGCAGGGGCCTCAAGGTGCAATGGAGCCCTAAGGAAAGAACACACCTGGGCACGTTAGGAGAGCAAGAAAACATGGAGAGGTATTTGACAGAATTTTTATAGACAGTGTTTGTTGCACTGGGATTTCAGACCTAATCATCTGTTTGAGTTCAGTGCTCCTCACAATACGAAACATGGAAGCATGGGATCAAGCCAGACAGAGGGCCTGATTCGCCGCTGTGAAGCGAATCAGGCTCACAGCATCGACTCCTACACACCAGCCCTTCCCTGTGATGTGCGATTGCTGAACTACGCAGTGAGTTTAGGGAGTGCACCAAAGTGTAAGGGCTGGGATGAGACCACATGCACACTCGTGAATTAAACAAAGCCCGAATTCCACCAGAGGCTGGTTTGGAAATCTCTCTAGGGGGTGATGTGAGCAACAGCAAACTACAGTTGTCCCCAAAGACCAGTAATTCATTTATTCTGCCTTTTCCTCTACAATAAATATATGGTTACAATGTAAACAAGGTGAAATGGAAATTCTAAAATCAGGAATTCATGACTGTGATTGAATTAAACACTATCACCCCTCCCCTCCCACCACAAAAGCAAGGATTAGCGACACATTTCCAGGTACAAATCTGTTTTTACACAAGCACGAGGGTTCCCCGCCCCAAATGCACAGAATCGCATACAGATTCCTATTGCACCGCTTCCTTTCCCCACTCCGCCTGGATCCGTTTAACTGAAAATCTAAGTCATTTAAATGGACAGCTTAAAATGCTGTCGGTCTAGAGTGGGATTTTCAAAAGCACTCAGGGTTGGCCTAACTCGGCTCTTCTCCCAATGAGGAATAAATAATAAAGCTACTGCTGACTTTAATGGGAGCAGAGCTGGGCCAATGCTGAGCACTTTTGAGAATCCCGCCCTTAACAAATCTACATTTAATGGATAACAAATACATGACTTCAATGGATCCAGTTACAGTCAACCCGTGGCAGATACATGGATAGCACTGACCTGATTATTTTCCTGTCTGGCAGGTACAATGCTGTAACACTCCGTTTACTTTGTCTGAATGCCAAATTTCTTACTCAGTCGTCATTGTCTAAAATGTCTCAGGAATAACCAACTCACCCATAATGAAGAAAGCTGGCACACAGCATAAAGCATCCTGTTTGTATTTGCGGTTTTTTAGCTGGTTGCTTCCACCTGTATTTCCAAGCTTTAATCTGTGCCTATTAAAACTTCAGTTGCACTACGCACATTCTACAGTAATAGGCAAAAATGTTTGGTCTGATCCCCTACGACTATTACGTAAAAATATTGTATTACACACACACACACACACCCCTCTTATTCATATACCAGCCTTGCGTAGCCAATCCCCTGCACTTTGGAAGAAAGGTGCCGTGTATACAGAGACTGTGTCCCCAGCCTGTTGACGTAATGATTGCTTTCAGTCCTTCCCCAGGATCTTAGAGAAATGTCATTCAAAACTAAGGATGACAGATATGTGAGGAAATGAGAACACAGGAGACCATCTACCCTTCTTGGTAATGATGTACATGATGGCCCCCAGATGCCAGGCCTACAGAGAAATTTAGATCAGCACTTAGGGTGTAATTCACAAGAGCTATGTGCCACTTAAAGCCTCATTAAAGGGCTTTATTGGAACTTACATGGTGCTCAGCCCCCCACCCCCGTGTTGGCTTCATCTGCATAGGGTCACAATTTAATGGTTAAATTAGATGTCACAGTGATAGCATGACAGAGAGAGCACGCAAGTGAGAGCATATATTTGAAAGTCAATGAGCTAACACAGTATTCTCTTACCTGGCTCTGGTGGCATGCAGACACAGGAGTAAAATGTGATATAGTCCACTTTAAAATGGGAATTGATTGGGTAATAGTCTGCTAACTTGATCATCTTCTTGAAAGCATCATAAATGAAGATGAAGCTGATCAGGGAGGAAAATCCCTCTTCTGTGAAGCGGGTGAAGTATTTGACCAGGAAGCTGGCATCAGTAGCAACCAGAACAAGACACTGGAAGGCTGACCACAGGCCAATCCAGAGACGGAACTCCAAGTAATCAAAGTCATGGTCTCTGCAAAACAAGTGTTTTAAAATAGGTGACAATGAGGAAAAAAATACCGGAGGCTGGATAATTCCAGAAAGGGTTAGAGAACTTCCCAAAGTGAAACTGGGAAATGTATGGATTATAAGAGCTGTGTTTATTAGGATAGATAAAAAGCAATACTTCCTGTAACATTTAAAACAGTAGGCTCGGTCTTTTTTTAGCCAATGATAATGATGGGGTTTAGTTTAACAGCTGAGTTAGCAATTGAACACCTAGGGCTGACCAATTTTGCTTCAGTCTCCATTGCTGTGTATTACCGGTAAACTTGAGTGCTTTTTAGAATAAATAACATGGTTTAGCACTGCAGAAGATCAATGAGAAAATATAAATGGAGACATAAAAGGCCAAACCTCCAACTAGTGCAAATCAGTGTCACTCCATTGACATCAGCTTATACTAGCTGACCATCAGGCCCAAAGTTTACAACAGATCTTAGAAAACCAACTGAAAATTAACCTCCCTGACAAATATCAAGATCAGGATTCAGAGTTTCCCATGCAGCAGCAAAAGGAAAGCAGGACCTGCCCTCCTTTAAACATCAATCATATTATCAAAAGAAGAAATACACAAGTCTGAGCTCGGGGCCCTGTACTCAGGGCTTGCAAATTGTAGGGAACAAAGGAATTATCTACAGTATTTGTTATGACTCGGTTTACCTATTTAATATTATCCTGCCTAACTGCATGGAATTCATCAAAAGAAGCTGCTAGGAGGAAACAAACAGGAAACAAAAAACAACAACAAAGATAAGTTCCTGCCAAAATCTTAAAGGAAACAATGGGGGAGCTATTAATTGGGACATGTCCACCCACTGGGCTCCAGCCAGGCTGGAGGTTAATTTTTCCCAGAGCCTAGGATCAAAGAGGCATTAAACCATTAAAAACCCTAGCTGATGAGAGGAGGTGAGCATGCAGCAGCTAGAGATGAGTCTCTGACAAAGAGAGAGAGAGAATACTACAGAGGCTGTCTGACTCTCCCAGGCCAGGAGCACAGGGGTCTGGATTGAGTGGAATTTATGCAAAACTTGCAAGAAAATAATAAAGTTTAGGTAAGACCCAGGCATAGGCCTTTTGTTGTTTTATCCCTCTCTGCTTGCTACATGCCTTTGGGTGAATAAAATAATGCTTTGTTTTGAAGAAGCTGTTTTTGAGTCACTTGGACCAGCTGCTGGACTCTCAGGTGCCAAACGCACCGACCCAGTCTAAGGGTGGTAATAGGACTGCGTGATTCCACCCAGAGAGGGGTGAAGGTGGTGGAACCTGCACCAGAGAAGTGGAATTGAGAGGATATCACAAAGGGGATTAAAAAAAACCCTCCGCTTGCTCTGTAACGCAGGTAAAAATCTTTTACTGTAGTTTGAAAAAAGAGCTCTACTCAAGCACTCCTTAGGAATTCAGGACTCGCTTCACATTTAGCCCAGAACCCTAACAGAACAGTGTGTGGCAGCATTACGAGAAGACGCTTTCAAAGTGAGGGGAATGGGGAAATTACCGCCAAGCAAATCTCTGTGTAACAGTGTTGAAAATGCCTTTTCCTCATATCTACGCTAGTAGCTGAATGGTTTTCAACATTAGATGAGGGATGCAGGGGAACAGTCAGAGGGTAGCCCTGATTGGCGTGTCCCCTTGCAGCAGGCCATAGCATGACAGGCAGTTTCCCTGCCTCAGTTTCCCTGCTTCCGAATCCCCAGAAATAGTCCCCAGAGACTTTCTAAGGGCAAATAGCCCTTATGGGGTGAATGCATGTAAATCATAACAAAAGTCCCACAATCATAGCACAGAATTCCCCAGCATAGTCCAAACAGAACACGGCATATACTGCCCCGGCTCTCCTCACTGCGCCCCGGCCCTCCAGCACCACCCAGGCATCCCTCACCAGCTTCTGCAGCAAAGCTCACTGAACACACCAGAGCTCCTTGAGTCCCTCCAATGTCCACCCCACACAAGCTCCCTGTGTGCCAACCCCCCATCCCTCTCTATTTCAGGGACGCCCTGCACCCACATCCCTATACCATAAACCTGGGCTCACTGTCCCCTGCATATTCCCCTCCCTCCACATCATCCTCCCACTCCACGCCTAGGGCTCACAAACCGAGAAATACCATCAAGTTAAGCACAGGGCCTCACAAGCTCGGCCAACAATAAGCACAGTGCACTTTTTCATTTACTAAGGACTTTCCCATGATTAATTAATTATCCCTCACAGCACCCCTGGGAGGTAAACATTACCCTCATCACCATTTTATAGACGGGGGGACCAAGACACAGAGGGGTTAGAAGCCTGATATTCAGAGCCATCCGCAGCCTCTCACTGACTTCAGCTCGAGCTATCGGTGCTCAGCTAGCCTGAAAATCAGGCCCTACGCACAGCACAGATCAGAACCCAGGATTTGCTGGCTACTGGTCCTCTGCTCGGAGCACTAGTCCACGTCTCTCTCTATGGGCAAAAAAGGGGCAACTGAAGGGCTGGAAAAGAGCAGCAAACGACAAAGAATGTGCTGTGGTGGTATCTTTGGAGACTACGGATAGAGAAGGGGGATGATCCAGTGGTCAGAGCACTAGGCTGGGACTCAGGAGACCTGTGTTCAATTCGCTGCTCTGCCACCGATTTCCTCAAGTCACTAAGGGTATGTCTGCACAGCGGCTGGGAGGTATAATTCCCAGCTAGCTCTGCTTGAACTCGCACCTAAAAATAACAGTGTGGCCACCGCAGTTATGGCTCGCTTCCCAAGTACAATTCTGCTCAACCCCCTGGGTCCATACTCCTGCAGTCACACGGCTATTTTTAGGCACTAGCACATGTACATCTACCTGAGCTGGGAATTACACCTCCCAGCTGCTGTGTTGATGTACCCTTAGGGGCGGATAATGCATTAAAGATTATGAGGGACTCAGACACTGAGGTACTTATATGGCCCCATTACTGAAGAAGGACACATTTCTGATGTTTTTCCTCCTCTAATCTATTTTACTTCATGCCACCAATAGATTTATTCACATCAGTTTTCTAATGTTTACTTGATTAATCGCAGTGGGTTTTGGGGGAGGAGAAGCGAGAAACTTATTTCATAAAATGAAATATCGTCTAATCCAGAGATCTCCACAGAAAACCACCATGCAAACATTTTCTGTAGATTAAGACCTTGATCACATTGCCTTCTATAAATCTTTAGGGAAGGCCTGCTGACATTTATGCCTCTTTGGAGTAGACCCATGGTTTCCACAAAGGACTTTTGAACTTTCTGTGCATCAGTCCATGGAATTCTTTCTAATTTTGTTGCCACTATACAGGACGTTCTTGTGAGCAAGAAGAACTGAAATGAATTACTGAAAAATCACAGTTTATGACTGCAACAGTCACGTGGCAGTGGCTCTCCATAAATCCCACTGCTACACACCAAAAGAGTATAGTCACAGCAAAACCATCTCCTCTTTCAGGAAAAAAGAGCAATATTTTGTATCTCTTGTTTTTTTCTGCTGCTCACAGTACCTGGATTTGGAGCAGATCATTCAGGCTAGAGGCATGTTGTGACACCAAAGTGTTGTCCTAATTTATACCAGTGAAAGAAAAAGGAGAGGGTGCCCTTCTCTTGCAGAGGTCCCAAGGAGTTGCTTTCGCCCCTCTAATCTATTTAGACACACACACACACACACACACACACACACACGTCTCTCCAGCGTCTTTCTGCCTGTGCTTGGCGGAGGAGAGAGACAGGAGATCCACAGTGGACAGAGGGAACCAGGGGTGGAGGTGGGGGAGAAGAAGGGAGTTTTCCCCTGTAGAAAAGGATGTGCAGGGAGCACGGTGCTTATGTTTGGCACCCAGCTCCCAGGCAGAGCCTCCACTGGATTTCCTGCTGACGGGCTCTGTCACCTGAGCCCCTCTCACACTGCCAGGCAGGGAAGAAACTGGCAGCTTCATAAATAGCTGCGGATTTTTTCTGTGGCCTTTTTTCAAAGGAAGATGGATTTTCTCCCCTCCCCCCCGCCTCCCATAAACTTGGTGTTTCAGTGCCTCAGCAGGTAGCACCACAACTAAGGGCCTGTCTACACTACAGGTTATGTTAGTATAACTTCCATCGCTCAGGGGTGTAAATAAGCCACCCCCTGAGTGATGCAAGTTACACCGCCCTAAGTGCCCGTGTGAAGAGCTTCTCCCACCAACGTAGCTACTGCCTCTCGTGGAGGTGGTTTTCTTATGCTGACGGGAGAGCTCTCCTGTCGGCATAGAGCGTCTTCACCACACACCCTACAGCAGCACAGCTGCATCAGTGCATCAGCTTCTAGTGTAGACCAGCCCTAAGTCTGTGGAGTGATATGAACCAAGGCCGTAGGAGAACACGCTTTTGATAACAAAAAGAGTTTGGGAAGATAATTTAACCGATTATGAATTTTAATACATACAATATTGCTTGTATTATAGAAACAAATGGGATCCCTGCACAAATGATTTCTGTAGGACTGCACAGTTGTATACTACTAAGCTTTGGGGAAAGTTACTGCAGGAAAGAATAAAAGTTGATGGCTGAACTCACAAAAGGGTGAATGGACACTGTTTGGCTAAACATCTCGCTGTGCTGAAATTGATCAGACTCTCTGTCTCAGAGGCTGAGAACAGTGGGTGATCATACGTGCTTCAAACACTAATGATTCTGAAATACTGCTAAATGTGATGAGACAGACACTTAGATCATGCCGTCCTTTGAGGCCCTCATTTAAATTGTATCACATTACTTTCAGACACAGTCACACCACCACAAATGTGGTAAGATTAATGATGAAATCAAGTGGATTCATCCCACTTCTAAATGAGCATCATACAGAACTCTATAGATAGATCACAAATATATTTTTACATGGCAGCATTACTATATCTCAAAAGCATATACAAACATGTCTAATATTTTCCAGGTTGTGTAGAAGAGAGACAGGAATGGTCATATTAGATCATCGTAATTAAAATAGTCTCCAGAAAATAACTAGAATTATCAAGCGAGATTATTAAACATCCACAAAGGTTAATTTCCCTAGAAACCTCGATATAATGAAGGAAGTAATGAAATTACGCTTTAGTTACCTAGACACCTCACTTTATGCCGCCTTTCTTATTGCAATTTACAGCCCTGTTCATTTTAAAAATCTATTTGGCCTTTTCCATGTATAACTACAATCAGTTAAAAAGCTGTCTCGTATTACAAACTGCTTTGGTAGGGAACCCACTATTTCCTTAACACTGAATATTTTTGTATTTTGAAATTCAGATCTTTAACAATATATAATCATGGGTTCTCTCTTTATAGGGAGATGAAAGAGACCTGGTTTGGTTGGTTCTGTTTAACTTAACACACTCCCATTTTGTATGGCATCAAAAATGTCAACAGCGCAGCAGATACACCTCTACCCCGATATAACATGGTCCTCGGGAGACAAAAAAAACTTACCATGTTATAGGTGAGACCGCATTATATCGAACTTGCTTTGGCCCTCCCAGTTCCTTGCTCCCTGACCGCTCCCCTTCAGAGACCCCCGTCCCCAATCACCCCCAGAACCCCACCCCCTACCCAACCCCTCTGCTCCCTGTCCCCTATCCACACACCCCACCCCCTGACAGGTACTCACCAGGACTCACCAGCAGCGGTGGGAAGCGGAGCAGCCCGGCCCCAGCCCGCTCCACTCCACCATCTCCCAGCCGCGGTGCTCCGCTTCCTGCCGTCGGTGAATGCGGGGAGGTTGGGGAAAGGATGCCCCCCCATACTCACCTGTGGCAGGAAGCAGAGCGACGCGGCCCCAGCCTGCTCCACTTTCCTTGCCACGGCCGTGTCGCTGCCGGTGAGTGCCTTCCTCCAAGCCCCCTCCCCCGAGCAACATGGCTGGGGCCGGGGCGAGGGAAGCGGAGGGGGCTGCTCCCAGCCCCCCACTAATCCCCAGGGCCACTCTGGGACTGCGGGGCCCACAAAAGTGGCCCCCCAAAGCTCCTGCCTCCCAGACACTGGAGGTGGGGGGAGCCCCTAACCGTCCCCGAGACCCTCTGCCCCTTATCCAACCCCTCGGCCCCGGCACCCTTAACACGCTGCTCAGAGCGGCGTGTCAGCGCTTTACCGCCTTGTATGCGAACCCATGTTATATCAGGTCGCGTTTTATCAGGGTAGAGGTGTAATATTAACAATAACTAAGCTTAGTCCTGATTACTTTAGAACAGCCATCTCCCAATATGTCATGCTACTGGTATTATTTATTGGAATAGCAAATGAAAATTCGATGTTGGTCCTCCACCTAACACAAAGGGGCGCAAATCTGGTTGTGGACTTTATTATTTATATTAGGGTAGCACCTAAACATTTCACAGACAAAGCCCTCTTTGAATTCAGAGTCGATAAACAAAACTATTTAATACAACAAAATCCCATCTAGGAGATTTGGTGACGATATCTATGCATGCCATGGACACTTATTTTTATGCATAAATAGCCACTATTTCCATGGACCACCAGTTTAATGGCAAATTCTGCTGGTGGTGAACTCAATGGGACTTTTGCCACTGAATTCATGGAGTGGGATTCTGCCTTTAGCGTATGGAGAAATCTGATCATCTTCCTGAGCAACAGAGTGATTAAGGAGGCCCCTTGTACCAACCAGTCTAGTTCCGCTGTCGTCAGTAATACCCTGCACTGCCATCTTGTCCGATTCATTATAGCTCAGCAAAATGTCTCTTGAAATCGGACGCTGGCTGAGATTAACGAAGGCGCAAAAGGGAGCTAGGCACCCAAATCGCACTGGAACTCTATGGGCACCTTGGAAAATTCTAGCCACTGTTTGACAGCTCTCTCACACCAGGAAATGTTCAATATCAATGCGCTTAATTCCCCCCTTCAAATAGCTCATTCACAGCTAACATTGTATTGCATTGGAAACACTCCTCTCCCCCTTTACTTACTTGCTGAAATTAAACAGGAGTCTTTCAAAGACAAGGACAGGTCCTGTGCTGCTCAGAATTGTGAGTGGCTGACCAGCAAAAAGGCAAAAGACCGCTCCAGTGACTGCTGTGCCCAGAAAGCTCTCCAACACGCCCTAGGGCAGACATACAGTACAGATGTTAATTTCAACGGACGCGCCACTTCACTCTCCCTTCTGTAAGCATGACCGCAAGAACGTGTGGGGTTATATCAGATACCTACAGACCGTATTAGGTGGGCATAAGATTAGGGGCTCATCTGAGGGCTGGTATCTAGCATAAATTCATGCCTTCAGTTATTGATTTCATAAAATCTTTAGTTACACGTGACAATCAGCCAACCAACACACCCCACCACTGTGGTTATTCCAGATACCTTGGGCTTTAGCATTGTTTTTGTTATCCGTGGAGACGTTCAAAAAGGGCCTGAAGGATGCAGGAGCACAAGTCCCATTGGCAATCTCCCACATTATGATGACAGAGCCCAAATACATTCTTTTGCAAGGTGCCTCACAATACACATAATTTTAAACATGGTACAACATGGCTGGGGGACAACAAAACTGTGTCAGGGCTACACCGATGAGGTTACTCTACCAAGCTTAGCCCGTACTGTGGTGAAGCAGAATATTTTACAAATAAATAAATGGGTTTAAGAAAAGCAGATTCCTCTTTTCATAACAGGTTTTAACCAGTGAGACTCAAATCAAACAAGACTAATTCATCCAGCATTGAAGTGTTAAGACCCAAGTTCATCAGATGTCATCAGAAAGTAATAAATTCCACATTTTATGGTCTCCATCATTTCCTTTGGTATATGTAATGAAACAAGCTAACCGAGGAGTGATAAATGAATATGCTGTAGACATTTCCTTGGATTTTCATGTAAGTTACTACTGAACGATATTTATTTTTATAATGCAAAGCACAAATACAACTTTAGTGGCAGGTTTGGTTTACCAATAAAATGTAAACAGCATTATTGACAATACAACCTACTGTTTCACTGAAATGGTAGTAGACAAGGGATGGAAATTGCATAAAGCACTCAGCCACCACCGGGAGCAGAGTTAGGTCAACCCCACCCATAAATACACTTGCGCATATGAGCTTTTAAAAAACAACTACAGGAAAAAAAGTTGTCTTTAATTGAAAGTACATTTTCTTTCCACTGTCCAAAGGACTGAAAACATGGTAGTTAAGTCTACTTTTCAAAAATATTATTAATATTCCTTTCAGAAACAAAGCAGAAGTATTCATAATTTTTTCCCAGACAAAATTATTTGTAAATCACATGAAAATTGCTACTTAAGTACCATGCTGAACTATGCAAGAAGAGAGAGATTTTCTTAAATAGAAGGATATTGTTTATGCCACTATGTGACTACAACTGATTTTAAAAAGTCAATGTATTTTATCACATCCATCATCAATGATAGTTAATCTGCAATGTGTACTGACATTACTTAAAATGTGTCACTCCCCACAGGTGTAAAGTTGGCTCAGTGTAACTGGTGATTTCCCAAACTGTATTTCAATTGAGAAATTTATTGCTATCAACACTTTTAAATGTTTTGCCAAGTTTTATCCATTACATTTTACACCCAATAGTAATGATGTGTCTGGAAGGGGTTTTACACACGACCGTTTGATCTGTGGCCATGTCTACACTGAAAATAGCCCACTCTTCAATGGTGGGAATGTTAATGTAGTCCAGCTGTCGTTTCATCCCACTCCGAGAACCCGGCAGCAAGAACACCACCACGAGCACTAGAGGAGCTGTGCTCGTACCACAGCAGCTTTGGGAACGTTTTCAGAAAAAGCTCAGTTCAGGCACCCGGCCTGTTGTAGTCCTGTTCTCTATCATTAATGGCTCTTTTCATTTATTCTTAAAAACCCTGTCCACACTGAAAGCAGAGCCATGTTAGGCAGGACTGAACTGAAGTTTAGACAGGTTGCTAGAAGGTTCTAGCAAGGTTTCTCTGGTTAATATTACGATAGTGCCTAGAGGCTGCAGCCATGTTCCAGGACTCGTTGTGCAAACACCCAGTAAGAGACAGTCCCTGCTCTGAAGAGTGTACAGTCTAAACAGACCAGGCAGATAAACGGTAGAGGAAAGGAAGTATTATTATCTGCATGTCATAGATGGAGAACTGAGGCACAAAAGGATTAAGTGTCTTGCCCAAGGTCAGGCATGATGTCTGTGGCATAACCAGGACTTGAGTCCAGATCCTCTGAGTCCCAGTTTAGTGCCTTAAACACAAGACCATCACTCCTCTCCACATCACAGAGCATGGTTCTACACCCACTGTGGAGAAGGCCTTGATTTACTTCCTACTTTCCCTTTTCATCCTCCTCAATGCTTCCTTTTCATAGTTTAGAGGGTAGTTAGTGCACACTTCAAAGGCTATCGCTTGTGCCATAGGCTAACCGGCTCATAACCTCACTACCATGGAGAGGGAGGAACCACACTGCACTGATGAAACAGCCCTAACACAGCTGAACAAAAACTTCCCTGCACCAACGGGTTACAGACGATATCTTCCATTTGGAATCAGCTCGCTCTGACATGGGTTTTTGCCTTCTTGGATCAACACAGAGACCTTTGACTTATTATAGAATCCGCTTTTACAGACCATTTTTTATTTTATTTCTGCACTCTGTTAAAAGGAGCTACAGTTTCCATTTTTGTGGATTACAGTTTTAAAATGGAGACATTTGATTTATTACAAACACTGCACTGGAAACTTTAAAAAAAAATCAGAAAAACTTCCAGGGCCCCTCATAAAAGAGCTATTTTGATATATTGCTCTTTAAACTGCAAAACAGAAATTCTGAAATATTCTCATGCCTGGAAGAGTTATTAAAATGTATACCTGAGTCATAAAGCAGTTCTGTTCTTTAGCTTTTGTATTCAACTCTGTAGAGCATGATGACATCTCTGCCCCTGCCCCCCCAAATAGCAGCCATGGTCTAGCTCCTGCAATTGGACTGTTCACATTAGTGGATCCAATTTCAGGATTAGGACCTGCTTGGTATGTCTCATTCATAGTTCCACTTTACAGTGAGGTTATACTCTGAGCACTAATTGTAAACACTGCATCATGGGACTCCACTTTTATTCCCTCAGAATGACTCCACAGATGGAATGTGTTCCGTTTCTAGGATATTTTTTAAAATGGTAAACTGTCCCAAGGATCATAAGTCAAGCCATGTTTTCTTCCCCCTTCCCCCCCCTCACATCCTCAGGAACATTCTGCAATCACAGCTTGGGCCCTGATGCAGCAGAACACTTGTGCGCATTTTGTCCCACTGACTAGGGGTAGACTTAAGGGGAGGATTTAAATGTGCTTAAGTGCTCTGCTGAATCAGGACCATAGTTCACAATTCTGTTAATGAGGCACATGCCAAAATATCATCAGGAGACATGGTGATGGTCCCAGGTCTTGTAATGAGTGGCTTGCAGACTGACCCTTGTTCCATGCATCTCAGGCTGCAGGATGAATGTGCACCTGACGCCTCACAGGGAGCTGATCTCCTGAGTGCTGGTGTCAGAATATTTATACTTCAAATATTGTCAGAATTTTGAGGTGCGGTGGTGATGACAGAAGAAGGGGTGGGAATCTGTGCAAGCCCCCCCATCCCCCCAGTTTTGAACCAGTCCTACTGTGGAGTCAGAAGACAATATTTGAAGTAATTTTTCCTTCCATAAATATTACCATAGACTATTAAACCATTATTTTCCTGTGTAATGCAAAAATCACCATCCCCAAAATTAAAAACCAAGCTTTGTATAAGGTAACGCATCAATCTCTTTTCTGATGGTAATCATGCTTTAGTTGCCAAACACAGCATTACTTGGAATGTCTGAGCACCAAGAAAAGAGAGGTTTAGAGACGCAACAACATGATTTAAAGATAAAGGAAATTTAGGCTGGACATCAGGAAAACCTTCCTGAGAGTGAGAAACATTAGACTGTAGAACAGAATTGCAAAAGGGAGTAGTGGAAGCTCCATTGCTCCTGACACTTGGATATAGAAAATGTATTGTAGGAAACAATCCTTCCCTGCCTGGAGGATGGTTTAGATTATGTTCTTGGTCTTTTTCAGCTTTAAATGCTAGTGGCAGGCATTAGTGGCTGCACTCTCTGACTTCATTATTGCCCAGTCTTGCACGTTATTGTGGCTGTGAGCAATTCTACTGAAAAATTTATAGCAAAGACTCCTTGAAAAGCAGACGGCATTACAAGGGGTCCCGGAAATTTATGAGTCTTTGTCCATTTTCGCGGAGCGGCTCATGAGAATGATACAGTTCCTCTCAACAGAAGGAATGGCATTTGTACAACTGACTTCTCTTCTCTCATTCAGCACTAATCACAACAAGAGCATCACAGCCCACGGCATGGATTCCAACGCATCTGGAATTTCTTTTTCTCCACATTCCTTAACATGGCTGTAATTAAGAATAGTGTGTTTTCTTAGAAACGAAAAACCTTGATGCAAGGTTCCAAAGAAAGATTGGCCATATCTGCTATTCCTTTCTGGCCAGCTCCCTGGGTCAAATGCTACAAGCTGTGATGATAAACACTGATTCTGAATATCAGGCCCCGTGATATTATTTAACTATCCGCAAGAAACAAAAGCCATAAATCGTAACAATAGGCATGCATCTCACTTCCTGAAACATAGTTTGTATAGGTGACAAACTACTGGAAAACTCTCAGGGCCAGATCCTCAACTGGTGAACATCAGCATAGCTCCACTGGAATCAACAACGCTACGGCAGTCGATGCCCCAGCTGACAGTCTGACCTAGTCTTGATGCCTGTAATAGGGAAATAAACTTGGAAAAAAGTCCTAACATTTGACAGATGGTTTCCTCTACTCCTCTTTTCAGGTAGCCCAGACAGATGGAACCTCTCTCTTCTGAAGAATCAATTCCCACAGCAGTTTCTGACCCCATAACACATTTGGTTTTGATACTAAAAGGTATTGCTCATGCTCAAAGGTTTCTTATTGAAAATAAAGCTTCCAAATATTTACTCAAAGTGGCCCAGGGCCTTATTGACATCTGCTCAATTAGATCTGCACTTTCTGAGAAGTAAATGAACCTGTAGC